ACGTTCCCGCCGAATACAATGGCGTGGCTACGAAGTCGGACGAGCAAGGAAGAATTATATAATCCCGAGAGGCAGCCGGCGTTGACGTTGCTCGTCGTCATCAATTCTAAAAAAAAACGAATGACTCCGGGAACAACTGAATCCCATTTTTTCGTTGCTTCGCCAGTGAAGGAAAATTGAACGGAATTGCTCCGTTTATTTTAAAAGGAGTTCGTTACCGACTTTCAACAGTTCCTTTTTAATCATGTTGGTCGCGAAAAGTCCCGTGATGAAAAGGTAGACAATTATCGTGGAATAATGAAATGAACTGCTCTGACGGAGCCAGTGCGTCGAGTAGTAGAGGATCGAGGAAGTTTATTATTGAGAATATGCTTGGACTGTTTCGAATTCAAAACTGAAATGGTAGCGTTCGTTAGATTATTGAAGGTTGCATGTAAGTCACGAGAAGAGGAGTGCGGACGAAAAAAACAAAACGGAAAATTGGAGTCGACAATTAATTGCGATGGGTTGCTTGCGTGGTTGTTGATCAGGCACGTGCAGAAACGAGCTCGAATGTGTAAGTGTTGTATACAGGGTGATTATAAAGTGCACGAAGAATATGGAATTACGTATTATTCCAAAAATAATCAACGTACAGTACTATCGGTTAGTTTACTGAACAGCTGAAAGCAATTATGCGATTTCCATTTCTATCAGAAATTAAATTCATGATGAAACATTGTTTCCGGCGGATCGAAGTATTCGACATTGAAAACTTACATTTCGTTCTTATTATTCTCCAAATTATCTTGCAAGAATCGTAGAATGATTATTTTTTCATCGATTTCAACGATCTTTTTTCCGAATCCGTCGATCCCACTTTCTCGGCCACCCGGTGTATACAGACGAGTGCGCATTTCCGAACGTTCGAGCCCTCGAGCCGGCGAGTGTGGGTGAGTTTCGCGAGTGTCGACACGGCGATAAATTCGTATCGCGAATCAAACGGCGATTGGCCGGGCTGACAGTGACGTCAAACAGCCGGTGGGCAGCCGTCAAGTGGTATGACTGCGTCGCGTTTCGCGGACGACCGTAAAAAAAAAGAAAGAAAAAAATAAATAAATTCGCTTTTTTCTTCGTTCACTCCACAAGCCAATCGAACTCGCGCAATTGGGAACTTTACGACGATATTTATGAGTCACGTTTCACCACGTGATCGCGTTTCACCTTTTTGTTTTTCCGCGTTTGCGAGGAAACATTTTTTCGCTGGACGACCGTCTAACAATGATGTCTTCTATTGTTGTTTTTCCGGTTCCTCGGCATCGCCTGGCGATCGATGACGTTGGGATGCAGTGAGCAGACTCCACTGCGAGTCCGAGTCCTTCAAGATGGACCTGATCCTGGATATCAACAGCTGGCTGTACCCTATGGAACTGGGTGAGTGGTTACTTCATATTTGTCTTATGCAGCAACGTGGAAGCTTGTAAAGGATTCATTCATTTATTCCCCCACTTTGATGGGGAAAACAATATAATCCATTGAGAATGTGCTTCCTCTAGATGGTTCACCATGTAACGACCATTGATTCCATGAGAATACTGAATTTATTGAAATGTGTGTAACACGCAACCCAATATTTTATTTTTGTTTGAAACCGCGATACGATACCGAAAGGAGTTAACAGTTCTCAGTTGGCGGAAGTTCTTAAAATCATCATCTCTTTAATTAGAATTGCTGAAAAATGGCTTGCGAATATTTCCTCTTCTGCGGCGGTGGTTTTTAGACCTCGAGGGATATAGTTCAAAAACTATGCGTGTAACGGGAGAGAGAGGCTCGTCTGGTATTCATTAAGTCCCGTCAACAAGATTGACGACTAGTTTCAAACGATCATCCGCACCGCCTCGCTTTCGCATTCGAAAAATGTCTAACGATGACTCGTTTCATTTCCTAGCTGGTTTCGTAACTGTTTAAAAAAAAATATTCGGACTGTTCGTACTAAGTCCAACGTCGATCTTAAATAGAAAATGGAGGGAAGTGGTGACTTAATGGTTAACAGGAGAATGACCAGTCTTCCCTTGAAAAATTAATTTTCTTAGAATAGAATATTCTGACTTTCGCGTGGAATATAAAACTACAATAATTACATTTCACAAATTTTACCAGAAAATTGGACAAACCGCCGCTATTCTCTCAATGACGGATCGAATTAGAAATTCACGTCCGTGACGGTCGTCGCGGGAGGAAAGTAATTAAACTGTCTTCGCCGTCGACATGTTAGGTCGCGTCGCATGAAAATTCTGTTTGCCATATCGCAGCGTAGCTGTCACGGCTCGCGTTGCGTTGTGTTTACACGCCGCCCCGTCTGACGTGCCACCGTGTGTGTACCTACTTAATCGATGCAGCTTGCAGTGTTTTACAAGCGAAATGTATTTCGCGGAACCGGGCTGATCCGTCGTCTTAGTTAATAGCAGTTTCGCGACGTCAAACGGAAAGATAAAGGAACAGAGAGAAGGAGAAGCGAGCGTCACCGTCTCAGATGCTGTAGCCGATGCAACGCGATGCAGATTAAAAGGCCAGCGTTCACGTTTTTCTTTTTCGCGCGCGCACAACCTCGAGCGCCGTTGTAATTTCCGGTCGCCGAGTCGGAAACTTCCCCTTCGTCCCTTTCTCGATTTACCAAGGTGAAAGTCTATTTTCGATACCTTCCTCTATTCCCTTCGTCATCTTGGAAAATAAATAATTACTGCTCGGAGCCTCCACGTGCAAACCTTTTTCCGCTCTTTGATGTTAGCTTTTGTCGCGTTGTCTCTTAATTAATCGGGAGCTGACGAAAAAAAATTACGACGGATGATCCAGGGACAATTATGAGATCCCTCGAAAGATTTACTGAATTCAACGGAACAGTAACTCCAACCGAGAATGCTCGGTGTATCGAGAATGTAGCTGGTCTTCTATTTAGATCCTCGTCCCACGAGGAATTAAAATATCTGTCGCCGCGGATTCTGTGGCGCAGAAGAGGATTTTCACGCTCGAGAAAGTCGCCTAACGTCTGAGACGCATTTGGCACGGACGAAAGTGTCGCGTTCCTATTTTCCTTGTTCAGCGGATTTTCGAGAGCTCTCTCTCCTTTTCTCTCTTCCCGACATCCGGCCGAGAGTACCGTCGTGCATGCCAAAACTACTGACACACGCCAAGATCATTAGTTCTTCCGCGTTAAAAGGGCGCGCTGTTCGATCGTCATCGATGAATCGATCTCTTTTTGCTCTTTCGCCCTTTGGCGAACGTGACACGTGTTTCGCGTTTAAGGGTCACAGGTGCTCTCCGACTAGCATTTTTGTATTTGCTCTTTATTCCACGTCACATCTTTCTACTCTCTTGGTTAGACACCGGAAAGATGAGAGCTTGGCAGTGGATACTGACGGATCGAACGAGATATAAGACAGCTTTGCGAGGTTGCCTCAAGGTGACTTCCATTGCTCTTCTTCTGAGAGCTTCCGTGGCGGGACACATGCTATTCAGGGACTGTGAAACCGACACCAAAAGTCTCCGGATGACCACTTTTTATCTGTCGCCCTCAAGTGACCGACCGAATTGGTTCGTCCGTGGGAAATGCACGTTCCGAGATGGTGCTTGTCAAGAAACCTGGATAAATTCAAATGGAGCTTATTCCTCCACCAAATTTGCTGCAATCAACTGTCAGATGGACTGTATGATCGACTGAGAAATCATGGTTCTAAAATCGTAAACGCCACTTCGTCATTCAAATTTATTCACAAATATGGAAGGGCACACGTGAAGCTCGTTTAGAATCTCTAGAATGTTCAAATATAAAATCTATCTACTTTTATGAAAAATCACCGTTTCTCTGAAGGTCAACCACGCCTACTTTCACCAAGATTCTATTTTCTCCTCCCATGTTCGAAGGTGTATTTTATTGGGCATCATTGGCTTGAAATTTCGGAACGATCTTTCCGTTTTTCGGCACGTCAGTTCCGTGAAACGTAGAAAACGATCAGCATTCGTGATACACCGTGCATTGTGCGCGAGGGTGGGGGGCAGGGGGATCGGCAGTGTGTCAAGGCCACGTCACGCTGCAGCAAAGCAACCCCCCACCCCCGTTAGTCAAATATCGTCATTTTAACTCGCTCCACGGACAGTTCTGGATGTATCCCGTTGATTCGGCCGCTGCAGAGGGAGTAGTGGGTGCGTCACACCCACTCGGTGTGTTTCGGGGGTAGGGGGTTGGATGTGGGGCGTGCTGCATCGTTGATCCACCTCCGCCCGTGCTCTTCTGTTTACAGATTCGTATCCTGTCCGCCTCCCTGCCCTTCCGTTTTGCCGAAATAGTTTCTTCTTCTTTTTCCGCATTCCCTCTTCCGCCCGTTTCTCTACGGAGAAGAGGAACATTTAGAATTCGGGACCAATCCGGTTACTCGTTCCTAACTGGCCGGGATTGTTCATTCAGAACTCCGGGAAAATGAAATTGCATCCGCGAGCGAGGGCATTCAGAAGATTTCCAAGTCGGGGACCCACTGTGTAAAAGTTACTACGAATTCACTGGAACTTTTCTGGGATGATGGTAATCAGAACTTTGCTTTGCATTTCCGTACCGTCCCGGCGAGCTGCGAATTCTGATAACACAGATTTTTACAATTGAGAGTTTAGTGGTAGAACATGTAAGTTGGGATGTTTGGATAACTATTAGAAACTACAGTTACGTATTTATCTTCACTGTTCGCACTTCGTTTTAGCTTATTATATCTTTCGTACAGTATTGCGTCTATTGTATTCCGCTAATTACGCGTCTCGCTATCAAAGGTGTACCCATCAACTACATTCTACAAAATATTACCACCGGCGCAAGCCGAAGATCGAATT